CTTTGCTGGGTAAAAAACTGTCTGGATGGCCGGGCCCAAAGAGTTGTGGTGAACAGAGTTAAATCCAGTTGGCACTGGTCACGAGTGGTGTCCCCCAGGACTCGGTTTCAGGGCCACTCCTGTTTAACATCTTTATTGATGATCTCGATGAGGAGATCGAGTGCACCCTCAGTAAGTTTGCAGATGACCCCAAGTTGGGTGGGAGTGTTGATGTGCTCGAGGGTAGGGAGGCTCTGCAGAGAGACCTGGACAGGCTGGAGCCATGGGCTGAGGCCAACTGGAGGAGTTTCCATAAGGCCAAATGCCGGGGGCTGCCCTTGGGCCACAACAACCCCCAGCAGCGCTACAGGCTTGGGCAGGAGTGGCTGGAGAGCTGCCAGTCAGAGAGGGACCTGGGGGTGTGATTGACAGCCGGCTGAACAGGAGCCAGCAGTGTGCCCAGGTGGCCAAGAAGGCCAGTGGCATCCTGGCTTGTGTCAGCAATAGCGTGGCCAGCAGGGACAGGGAAGGGATCTGACCCCTGTACTCGGCACTGGTGAGGCCGCACCTCGATTCCTGTGTTCAGTTCTGAGCCCCTCACTACAAAAAGGACATTGAGTGACTCGAGCGTGTCCAGAGAAGGGCAACGAAGCTGGTGCAGGGTCTGGAGCACAGGTCGTATGGGGAGCGGCTGAGGGAACTGGGGGTGTTTAGTCTGGGGAAGAGGAGGCTGAGGGGAGACCTCATCACACTCTACAGCTGCCTGAAAGGAGGTTGCAGAGAGCTGCGGATGAGTCTCTTGAACCAAGTAACAAGCTACAGGTCAAGAGGGAATGGCCTCAAATTGCACCAAGGAAGGTTTAGACTAGATATGAGGAAGCATTTCTTTCCAGAAGGGGTTGTTGGGCGTTGGAATGGGCTGCCCAGGGAGGTGGTGGAGTCCCCATCCCTAGAAGTGATTAAGAGTAGAGTTGACATAGTGCTGAGGGATATGGTGTAGTGGGGAACTGTCAGTGTTAGGTTAATGGTTGGACTGGATGATCTTCAAGGTCTTTTCCAACCTAGATGATTCTGTGATTCTGTGATAATTCACTTTTATAACTACTGTAATGTCAATGGGATGATTTCTCTTCCCCAGACTTTTATTTAAAGAATGAAAATACATGGCCTAATATGGTTTTAGTTCACAACAATGTGCTGAAATGTGATCATGTTCCTCAGATCTTTGTTGCAGGTTTGTTTTCTACTAAATCATACTACGGTTTGTCTGAAAGCAAGCTAATTTGTGATTTAAACACTGTGACACTGAAGAAAATGCTTGCTCTGCTCCATGACATTCCTACCATCATTAGAGGACAAGTTAGATACAAAAATTTATGTTGTGCTTTTGCTAGTGAAAGTATTTGTTATTGTTATATGATATCAAAGCACAGTAATACGTAGAAAAACAGTTAGAAAATAGTATTACTGGGTTTATCCCTTATACTAATGATTGAGATTGTACTCCTCTATTGTTGGGCGAAAAGCAATATATACTTGGGCTGATGTTGCTTATCCATACGTGGAACAAACAAGATACTTACGGGAAGGTTGGTCTGTTGAAGTCCAGTGTTGGTACTTTTTGTAGGGCCAGTCTACTTCAAAAGGTTGTTGGTTTCATGAATAAAATTACTTAATAGCTTAAGAATTGAAGGAGAAATATGCTGGGCATCTTTAATAAACCCTATCTCTGGGACCCAGAGAATTAGACTAGCTCTCCATTAGGTTTTATGGCAGTAACATTTATTATGACATAGCACTGAAAATGTGAATGTCATTGGGCTTTTTGGGGGGCCTGTGACTCTGAATATGACTTGCTCTGTTTGAATGAAAGAGTTCAAGACCAGCTAATAAATTTATAGAACTGCCTTAATTTGAGACAGGCAGCTGAGCCTGAAAGACAGTAGAAAAGTGAAAATGTGTCTGTTAAACAGTTATGAATGTACTGGTGATTGTCATGACTTGAAAATACTTCTTCAAAATGCTGTGGTGGAACATTCCTCCTAACATTACTGGAAACATACTAACCTCTTCAGTGGATGCATTCTATGCTAGTTTATACTTTGCTGAGGTACAGCATAGGTTGTTAGCAAGAAAAAGTATGTTTTATCTTTTAATCTTTTTTGGGTTTCATAGGAATTTTGTAGTCTCTACATTGTATCTTTCTTTGGAGAGTCTGTTTTTTAAAAATTCACAAGTAAATTTAAATTAAAAATGGGAATATGATAGGATTCCTAAGCTTTTATTTGTTCATTAGAGTTATACCTCTCTATTGTAGACAGTGCCCTCACATCCGAAGCCTCATTCTTTTGACATTGCTTACTAAGTAGCTAACTGAAGTATGTCTGACAATAATTACAATCCTTTCTTTGAAGTTGACAATTTCCACACATCGTTTAACCTGCTTCTCTTCTGAGAAGCACTGGTCCTTCTAAATATCTCTGCTGATTTGCTCAGTGTAGTGCTCAGGCTCCTGCTTTGCATTGGCCCAGCAATCTGTTGTTCACATTTAGTCTCCCCTCTCCCTCCTTTTCTTTTTCTGGCCAATTCAAAGGCAAACTAATTTTAAGTAACCTAAATAGCCTTGCTTCCTCTGATAGGAGAATTGTCTATACTGGCATGCCAACTATATGTATTTTATGGATTTAAGCATTCTACAAAGGCATGTTTTAGGGGATATTTTAGAAAGTCAATTATTTTCTCCAGGAAGTTAATTTAAATTTCATGTGAATCCCGATCAAATACCTATTGACTTTGTAGGTCTAATCTGAAGCCTACTATGGGCTGGACTCATGCCAAAGCAAGCAGGGTGTGGGGAAGCTAAAGCTAACAGTGATGACATACCTGCTAGAAAAATACCAGAAACCTGATTTGTTTTCCCTGTTCACTATAGTTGTGCAAACATATTGACCTCAGTGTTTGACTCGGGAGAAGCTGTTGGTGGCGCTCAGAGAAAAGACTTTTTTGTAGACTTCCTCATTTTCTGAATTATAATATTGAAAACAGTAATTTGAACAAAGCAGAAAGGCACAGATAGCTGTAAATATCTTGCTAACTGAGCAGAACAAAAATATTTCGTATATATGATCTAAATTCCTGAAAAAATAAAGAGTCACAGTGGCCTAATGTCACCAATATTCTTATGGCACAAAGCCGCAAAGGTTACAAGGCTTCAGTTACAGCTCAAATGGCTTAATATTTCATTTTTCTTTTCATGCAAAATATCTTGTATGCTAAAACACTTGTTACTATTTCTGTGGGACTTTTCAGTAAGCATAAACCAACATTCTGAACTTTAGAATTGTTCTTTGCAGAAGTATAAAAATATTAAGATAAAAACTATTGAGGTAATGCTCAAATTTAAAGTTAAGCTATGAATGAAATACTACTTATATCTTCTGTTTATTAAGTTACTATGAGTCCAACTTCACTGAAAAGAGTAATATTTAGCTTAAATGAGAGCATGACACATGATGATCAAGTTTTGCTCCTGATTTATTATTCCTTTTTAATCCCAAGGTCATGTGCCTAAAGAACCTTTTGCTTGTTTGTTTTGCATCCAGAGGAGCAAAGGGTAGAGAGAGCATTTGTGGAAAACCTTACCACCAGTGACTGGGAACAAGAGCTGAAGCAGGCAGCCTCTACAGAACACATGCTCCAAGGAAAATCCCTATCGCTTACGGGCCATTAGCATATACATTTTTTTAACGAGTATATGCTCCTGACCTTCATTCTGATGGAGAGGAATAGCTGAACAGGAATCATATAAATTGATAACACCTTATGTCACTATATTAAATAAAAAGTATACAAGAATTACTAGGCTTAGTAAGAGCAAACTCAGTGTTGTGGTCTCTAGTAATTTAAAGGATAAACCAATGTGCTCCTGTTTTATGAGAGCCTCCGTTATTGTATGTTATATGAAGAATATTTATGCAATGCTGATTGGTTCAGAATTCAGTGTTACAGTAGTTCTCTCTTCTCTTCTATTAGGTATCCAAGGCTGCAGCAGATTTATTGGCATATTGTGATGCTCATATTGCAGAAGATCCCCTTATTATTCCAGTGCCTGCATCTGAAAATCCCTTTAGGGAGAAGAAACTCTTTTGTACTATCCTTTGAGTCAGTTTTCAATTAAAAATGTCTTCTGCTAAAATTTGGTATCAGTGTTGCATGCTCTTAGTTTTAGCATTTTTTCTTCAGATGTCAATACTTAGCCTATAGTTACAATATTTTTAGAAGGTAGTGCATTTTCTGGTAAAAACTAAAAATTTTTTAAAATCCTAAAAAATTCAAGGCAATCCTTATCTTTCAGACCAATGTACAAGTTTAATTTCAGTTCTTCATAAAGATTCTTTTGGTCTTAATGAAAGTATTGAGTACAATATCAAATTGTAGATCTCTTTGCCAGTCATAGATTTTTCTGAGACCTAAATGAGTTATACCGATTCTGAAGCTATTTTTAACATTCTTATTTTCTTTGGAAGGTGAATTTAACTCATTTGCCTTTACAAATTTATATCTAAAAAGAGTAGTGTGACCTTTCCTCAAGTAGCACTATGTAGGAAGAAATACCAATGATTTATGATGTTTGGAATGATCAGTCTTATACAGCAAGTGGTGTTTAAAAATATGTTTTGTGAAGACTGTAATAAACTTGACTACAAAAACAATCTTAGTAAAGCAACATTGTAACTGCAAGCAAAATGAAGATGTATAGTTACACACCAGGACTGCATCAATAAAACTGTAGAAAACTGTGGCTGCTCGTATCTTATTTTGAATTATAATGATTTAGGTGATTTTAGAAAGTAAACTGAACTGTAATGTATCAGCTGTTCCTGAAGGTCGTAGTGAAGGGTGTAAATCTGCCCTGATCAGTACAGGATGGAGATTACCTTTTCTAAGCAGCTCTCTACATGCTTTTGCCTGTGAGAGCAAGACTTTATGGGGATGGAGAGTGATGGTAAATGAAAGGTGGTGTTGAATATGCAGCGAGACTACTGTGCCAGCGACAGCCTCTAAGTTTGTATATTTTGTAGCTGCAGATTAGCTATGAGATAAGTTACCAGCAAGTAATTTGTGGTGGTTCTGGAAGGTTTTTTGTTTTGACTTTGTTTAAAGTGCAGCAAGAGGCATGGAGTATGACTTGATCGATCTTCTTCAATAAGTAAAATTAAGCTCAGTCTCTGATGGAAACAGCTGTTACATTAGTGACTTCTGTTAAGTTCTTCTTAAAAAAAAAAAGCGAAAGATCCTCTCTGATATATTAGAGTTCCCTCACTGCAGTACTTTGTGTGTACAGTGTGTCAGTATACTGGAAATGTCACGCCTTTTAAATGCCTGTGAAGTCCCACACATAAGGCAGGAGACAACTTTGTTGGAGAACTGCACTAGTGAGTGGAGACTCTGAATGGCCACCCATAATGGAGTGTGCTTCTTCCGCACAAACTTGTATTCCATGAGCACCTTCACTACCTGCAAGGCAAAGACTGGTTGAGGAACTGAGGGCCTTGGGATATAGTTAAATGCTGAATTCGGATGCTAAAAAAAGGGCACTTCGGTGAATGAAGCCGTTTGCATTTAGTCCAAAGTGCACATACCTGCTTACATTTAGCAGTTTCCATCAATGTTTGTGACACTGTTTTGTGCAGTGGAAATACAAGATGTCTGCATCATCTGGGTTTTGATTTCTTTGACAATCAACTTGAATAATGTGCTGCACTCAACTGCATTCAGCTACCAGTCCTGTCACACGAGACAGGTGGCTTTGGACTGTGGTTCTGCTGCCCGCCAGCTCATTCCCCACATCTGCCTAACATGGAACCTCCGTGTCAATTTACTTCTTGCAATGTTATTGTAAAAAACCAATATTCCTTCTAACCAATAAGCTTTTGGGATGTCTTTCATTTTTGGGTTTTGGTAGCTGAAGACATCAGTAGTCTAATAGGCACAGAGATGTTTCACAGTAGCTATTCTGAAAAGCATTCAAATTTTGACCAGGTCTTGTCTTGGCTGGGTTTGTCCTTGGTTCCTATTTTAAAGTTTTCTGTTTAGGATACCCCTTCTTAACTTTTAACAAGAATGTTTCTTAATGTGTGGTGAGTTCAGCTTTATTTTGGGGGGTAGATAAATAGGCTTTAGCTGAGTGACTATTTTATTGACAGTGAAATAAAAATGGCTTTCTGAAAATATTTGTAAAAAAGGAGCAACAAAATGCTTAATAAGGTTCTTTAGGGAATCCTTCCTACACTGTACATGATTTGGTAACTGCTCTGATCACCATGGCAACATTTTCATTTGTCCTTCCGCATGTATGGTTTTAGCTGGAACAGCAAGGGAGGGAAATATAGGGCATACGGCTTTATTCTCAAAGGCTTTGTAACAACTTGCATTTGTGGCTCATCATTAACTTTCCCATCTAAAATAACATAATTGCCACAGCTTATTACAGTATTGCAAACAGCTTGCTTTCTGTTTCCAATTAGCATCTGAAGTCCTGAGATTGAAACATTTCACAGTAGTTTTGATCATTGATAGTTATAAGAGCTGCATTTACAAAAATCCAGTATTATTTTTCAGAAGAGGTGAATGTCATTGTTTTGGACTTGAAGTTTTTCTCCAAAATTTTTCCTGAAGTAATGGTGAAGGTGGTGTCACTTATGTCTTTAATAGCTGGCTCCCATATTCATGGTTTCACCAGTTCATAATTTAATCAGGTAAAAAAAATTATATCTATTAAACAGGTTTTGTGCTTCAAGTTTTGAAAAAGAAAACACTTGGAACACTGTAAATTGCATATTTATTTTAGCAGATGTCTATAACATATCTGAAGAGGTTAAACTGTATAAGCATAACTCCTTACTTGAAGACAGGACAGCTTTCTCTAATATCATTGGGCCTTATTTACCAGTTCCTTGAATGACTATATACTACTGGCAAGTTGCTAATTTAAAGGGTAATAAAATGGGGAGGGCCGTGGGAGACCTGAAAGGTCAGTTCAAAATAATTGTCACAGCTTTGGATCACATATGAATATATGCCTTTATTCAAGAACACCATCAATATACTGAGTCTCTGAAGAGAATGGCATAATCTAGTGGGTTTTTTATGCCAGCTTGATCCACAGATCATTTTAAAAAACGTCCTTTCCTCTAACCCCTCCAAACCCTAAAATGTTTTTGTCATTATTTTTTTTCTGCTTTGACCTTTTATGTGGTTTAGATAATCTGCCATTCGATAGTTGAATTTCATGCTCAAACATCTTGCCTCAAACTCTACACAAAAATACCTGAAAATCCTTGGACATTTTTCTAAAAATAAATACATATTATATCATGAAGCATAATATCATGAAGCATAGGATGATTTGGGGGGAAAAAAAAAAAAAAAAAGTCCTCCAAAATGTGGCTTTGTCTCACAGTAAGGTTTCCTGTAGGTTTGAAGCAATGAGTTTTTATTTTCATCAAACTGCCTGATTTGATTCCTGCTAACTTCAATGAGAACAAGACCAGACCTGTTACCCTCCTGGTGTTGTACTGTTCTTTCTCTCTCAGTCTTATTTCATATGCCATTAAGCTTGTTGCTTTGTATTTCAGGCCCAGAAAATAATGCATGCTCACTGCTAGCAGTGTGAGTTGGGGCTGTCATCTCACGGAATGAGAACTTTGGAACAGAAGTTGGGTTCAAGAAGTTTTTGATGTATTATTAGCAATCATTTCTTTGTATCCTAGAGCTTGCTGCTCCCGTGAAATGAGACTTCCCAATGGTGGATTAATGGTAAACTATAATGTATCAGTAGCACTTGTGGGGCCAGGTGTTTTGCATTCCTCAGATTAATCTCCTTGGTTTACCTTGAATTTAAAATGTTATCACTGCAATACTGAAAACTATTTCCCTCCTCTCTATTATTGTACTAAATTTCCCTTCTTTGCTTCCTACACCATGTATTAAATTAGTAGCAGAGTGCTTGGCTGGTACTGATAGGCAAGATTTTTAAGATAGCCTCTACAAAATTATGGTTGAAGGAGGGGAAAAAAAAGAAAGTTTAAATTAAGCTATTCTAGGTCACACCATAGATGAAAATAAATATTAACTTTGCTGTCAGTGACACAAAGGTAAATACAGGGGGTGTTGCCAACTGATTCAGAAGGACATAGTAACAAAGCATTTTTGCAGTGACTCACAATAGGATCAGCTCCAGCAGAAGGAAAGAACACTTTCAGAACAGTCTGTAAAGGTGCATATTAAAGCCTGGAACTTTAATATACCAGTTGTTTATCCAGTTGGATTTCTAATATCAAAGGAATAACAAAAGATGTACTTTGGGCGAATCTGATTAAATAGTTTCTCCTCTCTCTTTGTTGTATAGGGGTAAAAGTCTGTATGCATAATTCTAGAAAATGCCATAGTTATGGCTCTCCTTTGGGGCTGCATCAGAATCTGGATTTGTTTCTTCAAGAAGACTAAAGAAAACTTGGGGGAGGAGTGGTTCCTAAGAAACAGAGGTTTCTTGTACTGAAAACTAATAATACTTAAAGTCATTAGAATGACTTAAATATACTGTCATGTGTGAAAAATAGTGGGCAAAATTGTTAGAATAAGTGCTATATAAAATTTTACAGGCATCTGCATATTTAATCTTTAGGGAGAATGATATTTGGAATAAATAGTATACATTTGCATTTAATTGAATTCAGCTTTATAGCACTATTTAATTAAGTACAGCTATAAATACCAGAACTGGTATAGGAGCAACTTATCTGTTTGTCAGAGGAAGATGTATGTCTGAGTTTATCAAGTACATTTACACCACTCAGTTGTGAACAAACAAAATGAGCAGCTTTACCCTAAAATAGGGTCTTTCCTCCCCCAAATTCCTATCACAAGTAGAAGTTGCACAGCATCGTCTATTACTGCCACCTACTGATGAAGGGATAAACAGCCGACTGAAACCGAAAAAAATACCAGCGTCAACTAGAAATGACGTCAAAGGGAGATTTTAAATTAATACGCATCTCAAGACACCAGCACTTCTGTTTTCATGGTCTGTACCCGGTAGGGTATTGCCTGTCACTGTGGTACTGCTGGGGTGTGGTTCAACCTCAAACTTCTCAGTTTAGGAAAAAGACAAAACTCAAATACATGGTTTGGTTACATGGTCAGGTGTGACTAGCTAAAAAACATTTAAAAAGTTGTGGAAATTTTGGGGTGTATGAGTTGAAGTTGGTGCGTACTCTCTTCTTGAATTTCATTTCCAGTTGCACGTGTAACTCAGATGCCCGTTCCTCATTGCCGCTGTGCCACCAGTTGTGCCACCACTCTCACGCTTTTGCCTTTTGTTCCCTTGAGCAGGTGAGGTGACCGCAGACAGGGTAGGGCCTGGCTCTAGGGCCGAGCGGGCCCCCGCACACTGAGCCGCCAGTAATCTCTCCTGTTTGCCTTCCTCTTCACAAAACCCTGCAACAGCTTTCATGTGACTGACTGCTGCACTATTCCTTCACACTCAAACTTTGCTCCTGGCTGCTGGGTTTTTTATTTCAGGGTGGGTTTTTTTCCCAATTATTGGCGTCTAGGCCAACTTCTTCCATGTATGCCACTGCATAAATATACAGCCAGAACAGAGCTTAGGCCACTGCTTACACTCAGAATAACAATTTATGGAAAATGCACTAGGCATGGCATAAGGACATGTTTCAAAAGACCACCCATTCCACAAAACCAGTTTGTTGCATAGCCTCTCACTGTACCTATTCTGTTGTG